CACCATAATATGTATGTTTATAACTGAGAGATCTCGGTTCCTTTGGATATTCGCGCAAATCAGACAGTAACTTCCTGGATTATGGCCCCTCGTACGAAAAATCGCGTGTGGCCCCTCTAGAGGTCACCATTTTATCCGATTTAAAAATAAAACGTTTAACTATATTACCGTTCCACCATAATATGTATGTTTATAACTGAGAGATCTCGGTTCCTTTGGATATTCGCGCAAATCAGACAGTAACTTCCTGGATTATGGCCCCTCGTACGAAAAATCGCGTGTTTAGCTTGTGGCCCCTCTAGAGGTCACCATTTTATCCGATTTAAAAATAAAACGTTTAACTATATTACCGTTCCACCATAATAGGGGTTGAGTTCGTATTTCGTGAAAATCGGACCGAAACTGCCGGACAAAATGGCCGCTCCTGGAACGCAAATAGTGGAAAAGTGCGTCATATCAAGGTTGTGGAACCTCTAGAGGTCACAATTTTGATGAAATTTTAAATCTGTGTTTATATCACAAAGATCTCGGTTCCTTTCGATAAGCACGCATATTGCAACGTAACTTCCTGGATTATGGCCTCTATTGTTCTTAAAATAACGTTTTTAGCTTGTGGACCGTCTAGAAGTCACATTTTGGATTCAGTTTTAAAAACCGTTTAAATATATCACTGTTACATTTCAATGACGGTTGGGTTTGGATTTCATACAAATCCAACCGAAACTGCCAGACAAAATGGCCGCTCCTTGTACGCAAATAGTCTAGAAGTCACAATGTGTATTCAATTTTATAAACTGTTTAAATATAACACTGTTACATATCATTAAAAGTTGAGTTCAAATTTCGCAAAACTCCGACCAAAACTGCCAGACAAAATGGCCGCTCCTTATACGAAAATATTCTAAACGTATGTAATACCAAGGTTGTGGGCCCTCTAGAAGTCAGAATGTTTATTCGATTTTAATAAAACTTGAAATATATGTTTATATTACAAAGATCTTGTTTCCTCTCGATAATCACGCATATCGGAAGGTAACTTCCTGGATTATGGCCCGTGTTTGTACGACAAATCGTGTTTTTTTTAGCTTGTGGATTCTCTAGAGGTCACAATTAACTGTTATCCGATTTTAAAAACCGTTTAAATATATCACCATTCCACCATAATAAACGTTGAATAAGAATTTCGGGAAAATCAAAACAAACTGCCCGACAAAACGGCAGCCCTTTGTACGCAAATTGAGTAAAAGAATGTAATACGAATGTTGTGAACAGTTTGTATCCGATTTTGATGAAACCTAAAATATATCTTTATATCCAAAAGATATATTTGCGCATTTCAGACCATAACTTTCTGGATTATGGCCACTGATTGTACGAAAAATCGCTTTTGGTTTTAGCTTGTTATCTATCCATCTCTTGCAAAATGTGGGCGTATCTTGTCTGGCAACCGCTGGTTATAAATTATATTACATCCCTCTCAATTATAGGCAACTTTGTGGCTAACATTTATAATTAAACACACTTTATTTCATAATTTTAATTGATCATATTTCATAACGGGGTCTATTCCCAATGCTCTGTGGTTATTAGTCCATTTTCAAAGGTTTATGATTACCACAAAAAAATAATATGAAAAAGGCCACCGCTTCTCAATAATTTCCATATTTAATTCAAGTTCCGAGTGTTCATGTCAATAATATTCCTGATTACATTACTTTTTTTGTTTAATCGACAGATACTGAAATCGAAACATTCTTGATAAGAACAGTTCGGGATGTCTAAAAATCGTTTATCGTCTTTATAAAAATCACTCGTTAAAAGAGGCATCCCAGATTGCCTGTATTATTGGGGCTTGTGTGTTAATAATTATTCAGACCGTTGGAAAAACTCGTGCAAGTTTCGTCCTAAATTTTCACTGCATTTGTGTAGCATACTATAACTTATATGGTATGGTACCTTTTACAGTAATAGAATTCAAAGCGTTGATTGTTGCTGAGGCATGATCGGGATTTACGAAATGCCATCAGAAAATTTCATTCTCCATGGATTTCAAAATGGAGTTGTATAATCGCATGGATTCATCGCCCTGTGAATTTCAAAACGAAGCCGGGATTTTCGTAAATTAATTGTGTTACTGAGACGCACGATTATAAACTAAAATTCTGAACAGTTTTTTGCACAACGGAAATAATATACGAAGAGAAATAGAAAGACACACGGAACTATCTGTCGATACCTAAACCAATGGGCGGTATGATTTGATGTTGATAATAATTTTTGGTATTTATGAAAAAAAAAATTTAAAAAATGCCGTTATATACCTATTTTATGATTCGATGGCCTCGGCTATGAAATTTGCCGAGGCAAATGTAAAATATATCGGCATTTACGGATTTACCTCGGCTACAGCAATTTGCATAGGTTAATTCATCAAGAAATAAAGATATTCAAGGGTGATATTCAAGGCCCGTGTTCAAAAGAAATAATCCCACCCAACTCTCTAACCAAATAATTAACACAAGATGGAAACAAAATAACGGACTGCGGGCGTATTTATGTTTGTAAACGACCAAACACTTTGAATTATCGTAAAAGAGCCAGACACCGTTACAATAGACAAGCCTTGCTGCGACCCCCTTGTACGAAATGATCTATCCCGATAAGTGATGTAATTAGCTTCTATTTTTGTATTTCTGGATGCCCAAGTTTGTGATAGTTCAATTTTACAAGAGAGAACTTTTTTATTCGCTGGGATATTTAGTTGTACAATGGATTTCACTTAACGGGGATATTTTGAGACAGTTCTATTTTCAAGACTGGCCGCTGAATCAAACTGAATTGAAAATATCTTGACAGTAACGCCATATTGGATTTATTGGGGCATATTATTGTAAGTGTTTCCGTTTTCTCTTCATTAAATTTCGGCTTTTTTTTACGTTCATCCATAATTTTACATCCTGTATGCAAGATATCATTTTATGTTATATTTATGTCTGATTTATGTCAGAAATAATTGAGTCAATGGGTTGTGTGCAGATGCCCGAGCTGCTTCGTGTATATCGTAAATAACAAGGGGCTGAGTACAGATCCTTGGGGAACACCACTCAGTAACACAGTCTCACATAAAGGCGTTGAATTGGTCATGGCGGATTCGGTTCTATGTGACAATTATGAATCGAAACACTTTAAAAACTGCATACCAAAATCGGTTTTCAGTCGTTTCTGGAGAAAAGAGTGGTCGATGGTATCAAATGCTACAGACACATCCAGTAGACCGTGGGGGGGGGAGGGGGTATCCACTACAGACAAATGATCAGATTATTGATAACACAATTAGGGCAGTTTACCAGATGTGTACTCTGAAATTCACATAACACACTTTGTTGATCTAGATGGTCAAATACGTTATTGGTTAGTGTTTTTTCCATGACCTTAGAAAAACAGGTCAAATTATGTTCTAGCCAATATTTCTTTAAAACGTTAATTCATTTGAGTCAATTTAATATCTTATTATAAGTATGTGGGGATAGGACTAGGAGGGTGTAGTGTGACGGCTCGTATTGGGGGAATGTTAACACCTTTCATATTCAATTTAATAATTCATCGACTAAAGTCGGGTGCTAATTAACAAAAAGGAATTCGAAAAATACAAATTTATGGCTATAGCCCATAAATCAACTCTCTAGCACATCGGATGGTTTTGATTTTCAGCGGATTTAAACACGACTGCCAGTTAATTGACTTTGGTTATTATATGTTAGAGGATATCTGATAATTCAAAAAAGTAATTAAATGTCACTAGATAAGGGAAAGCGAGAAAAATAAAAAATAGTCCATACATTCATTCATTTTTATTCATTCTAAACTTAATAAAAACATGGTAATGAACGGACTTTTTCTATTTTTCGCGCTTTCTCTTATCTAGTGACAGTCAATTATTTTTTTTAATCCTCAGATATTCTCCCACAGTCACATTCCTTCTAAGGAATTATTAATGAGTAGAAATTCGCCCGTGTATATATTATCACACGTCACTTCAGTCAGTTATATAGAAGGATAACTCGTGTTTTCTTTTTGCGTTCGTCACTTCCGTTTCTTGTAATCTTCATAACGCATCTATCATAGCAATGATCTCTGTGTTAAAATTGTATTTGGAAGGTGTTTAACCAGTTCTATCACATATGTAATAATGACTGACACCAATATTGCCCTTTAAACATGCATTATGCAAGAGCAAAATCTGCTTATTACAAGTCTTTCTTTAGGCCTGAAATGTTATCTAAATTATCAATTAGACATTAACTAACTTATCCAGACCATAATAAACTCTTGATGTCAAGGCTAGCCATCGATGTTGGCTGGATTAGATTCCTAAATGCCGCTAACGGCCGTTGATAATTAAATCAAAAAAAGTGGATAATCGAGACTTGCTGTTTATATTAATGATTTTAGTAATGATGACCGAGACTTTGCCAAAATTTCACGAGCTTCTTTCTCGGCTCATGGTGGATCAATTTGACTGGAATTTTCAGCAAATTACCTTTACACTATCTAGTTTTTAACTATTATAGCGAGAACTGCCATCTCGTTATCTTATCTCCCATAATGTATCTTTAAGTTTTGCAAGTTACTGAAAATGGACTTCTTACTTCTCGTTGAATGTCATAAACTTAATCACTGTATATAAATTCCAAGTCAGTAGGATGATAACTTTAGTCTCTAGGGCATCCACGGGGTGTTTCAAATTAATCAATCGCGATAACTCTGATCGTAATTTTCGGAAATCGTGGGAAAGCAATAACCTTCTTGGTCTCTTGAACATGCAAATTGAGTACAAAATGAATGTAGACCGGATAATAACTGTTATCTCCAGGATAAAACGAATGTTGAACAATGACACTTGATATCACATAAATATTTATTGTTAAACATTTATATGTGCAAAAAAAAAATAAAATAATTCATGAATATTGTTCTTCTTACAACTTGATAAAAAAAACTCCTCTTTTATAGTTTATTAGATAAATCAATCATACTTCCCAGTTAGGGTGTAAAAATATAGTACATGAATATACGTAAAATATGTCTGTCATTTTCTATCAACTGATAGGTATAAATTACTTGCTACTGCTATTACAAATTATGAAACAGAATAGAGGGAACAAATTTACAATATGGTGGAAGTAATTCATATAGTTGAAAGTCTAAACAGTAGTCAACTTTTGATGCAATTTAGTTTAGAAGTATACAAATGTAGAACGATGGGTTGCCAGCCAACAAACATGCCCACAGCAACTAAGTTGTCACAGGTTTATTCTTTTGAAGGCAATGTGAGCCTTTAAAAGACACCAACACGTGATCAAGGCCAATAACTATTAAAATATTTATCAGAAATGATTAAAATTGATAGGCTTATTTCTAGTGCTAATATAAACAAATCATGTACTGGCAATTAGATGATACAGGGTTCTTGTAATCATGAACATAGTCAAAGTCAATTGTATAATAGCTTCAGCAGCTGTCCACAGTGATCAAGGGTCATAACTCTGCAATGAGTTGATGAAATTGTTAAAAATATGTAGGTTTCTTCATCTACTGTACATGTACACTATAATCTGATGATGATTTTAGTGGCCAACAAGATTTTTCAAACTGATCAAGTAATTAGTGATGATTATTGAAAAGTAACAGGATTTTCCATTTCATGAATGTAAACAATGTGTATACATGCCAAAATCAAACCACAACTTTAACCTATGGGGCAACTGACAAACAGGCAGGGGTGATAACAATATTTCAATGTGGGCTTATGAAAAATAATCATCAGATAGCCAGTTTTGTATGTAGTAGAATACACTCTGTTGAGTAAATATATCAAGCAGGTAAGGTATAAATTACATTTATAAAATATAACAACATATACAATTTCAATACCAGTTTATAAGGTTTTTTTTAGGAAAATTAATACATTCATGAAGTTACAATTAATATTATCCTTCAATACATCTTAATATTCTTCATTCTATTTATTATCCTTCAATACATCGCAATATTCTTCATTCTATTTACATATTATGATTATAAGCCCAATATTCAGAAAAAATAAATGAATAAATAGAAAATATATCTGTTAAGTTATTACATATCCGCATACCCAGTTCATACCCAATGTTCTTCTGTTCGATCGATATTCATTAATATTTACATATTGCATTAATTAATTTAGTCTAGATATGCCCACATTTTGCAAGAGATGGATAAAGAACAAGCTAAAAACAAAAGCAATTTTTCATACAATCATGGGCCATAATCCAGAAAGTTATGGACTGAAATGCACAAATATCAAAAGGGACTGAGATCTTTGGGATATAGAGTTATATTTCAAGTTTCATCAAAATCGGATAAAAATTGCGCCCTCTAGAGGGTCCACAACCTTTGTATTACATACTTTTACACAATTTGCGTACAAAGAGCTGCCATTTTGTCGGGCAGTTTCCTTTTGATTTTCCCGAAATTCAAATTCCACCTTCATTATGGTAGAGAATCCAAAAGCTAAAAAACATGATTTTTCGTACAATCAGGGGCCACAATCCAAGAAGTTAAGGTCTGATTTACACAAATAGCAAATGGAACTGAGATATTTGCGACATAAACATTTAAAGATATATATTTTAAGTTTCATCAAAGTCTGATGGGTCCACAACCTTGGTATGATATACTTTTACACTATTTGCGTGCAAGGAGAATTAGGAGATGCCATTTTGTCAGGCAGTTTTCGTCCGAAATTTGAACTCAATTATTATAAGGGTGTAACGGTGATAAATTTAAACCTTTTTTAAAATTGGATAAAAATTGTGACCTCTAGAGGATCCACAAGCTAAAATCTTGATTTTTCGTATAATCAGGGGCCATATTCCAGGAAGTTACGGTCCGATGTGTGCGAATATCAAAAGGAACCAAGATTTTTGGGTTATACACATGCATTTAAAGTTTCATCAAAATCTAATGAAAACTGTGACCTCTAAAGTGTCCGCAAGTTAAAAACGTCCGGAGGGACAGGGGCGACGGCATAATACGTCCATATGAAAATGTGGGTGTATAAAAAGATAATTTAAATAATTTTAAATACAACATTACAAGTCAGTTAATGTAGACATTACAAATACATGTACAACATTACAAATACAAAAACATCTCCATACATTTTTGTATACAGTCACAAATACCATGGACTGTATATACAGTCCATGCAAATACAAATCAAATTATGAATTTTAAAAAATAAACAGTCAAGACAATATGAAACACTTGTTTTAATATATTACTAGTACAGACGACACAAATAAATACCTTTTCACTAAAAAACATTTCTGACGAATACAAATATGTTCACTGCAATTAATATAACTACAGATTGTATTTAAATATATAGATAAATAAAATTAAATATATCTTATTGGAACATTTTCTCTCATCATACAATATAAAAACATCAATTTCAAAGATTACATTCATGAACTCTGTATTAACACATAATTTTCTAAAATTGTGCAACAGTATGTGACATATTTTCTAAACTTGCGCAACTTTATGTCACATTATGGTATTTTTCTTTTCAAAATTTTGGGGGCCAATTTACAAGAACATTATTGGATTCAACATACATCTAATGCATATTTAACTAAATAAAACTATAAGTAATAAATAACAGCAACAAAACAAACAGACACAAAGTAACAAATAAAAATAGTGTATTACATTACAATGATATTAAAACAGGTTTGATTATGCATATAAATTAAATTTTGTATTAATTATACAACACTGCATGTATATAAAAGAAGATATGTAAGTTACTATATTAATTGATTTACAACTACATGCACATATAATTATTGTGTTGTTGTTCTTATACAGACTAATCTAATACTAAAATTGTTATTAATAAATGATATAATTGTCATAACAGAAACTAAACTATTATAATTGTTATTATATAGGCTAATGACAGAAGAGTGTTTATGCACAAATCAAAGTGACTCTCTAATTTTTTTCTGATTTAATTACTTCAAAATATGCATAGTATATTAATAAATCTGACTGAATCTCAAGTATGAGACTAGAGCTATATATGTTGTCTATTCGGTGAGACTTTACATAGTGTTTGAGGTTACTTTAATACTATTATGACAATATACTGTACATGGTACCCGACTTGAGTTTTTCTAAGAGGTAATAATTTCAAGTAAGATAAATTATCTACATCATTATTCTATTCCACACTTTCTAAAAATAACAAAAGGGGTAATCTACAAGGATAAAGTTTTGGGTGGGTACAAAAATAAATAAATATACAGATTGGTCCCATATAAATAGATTAAATTCCATGCAACTTTATAGTATGTATATTGGATCATTTTGTAATTAGGATTCATAAATGGTAAGGACAGGGTACTATAAAGGACGGTATGGTACATGGAATGATTGATATAAACACATTATTGTCATCGGATTTTTAAGCTGAAACTATAAATCACATATTTCATATGGCAGTTCATTGTGATCTTAAAGAAATATTTACATTAGAAATTATGAAGATTTATCTAGTTTTCACACAAATTAATTTACTATTTCTGATCTATGTTATTATTTGTTAACTTGATACCGCACACATATCACAGTCTCCTTCAAATATCAATATTAAAAATATATACAATGTAAACTTGGTGATACTAATGCCAGTATCTAGACAGTTAAAGATATTGGACATCTTAGATATGATTTAATTTTATGTGTTATTTTGAAATAGAGCAACAGCCCTTTGATTTAATTTTAATTCTACATATCACTTTTCAACATGTTTGACATTACCAGAATCTCAATATACTGAGTCAATAAAATACACTTCTAATCAAAGAGTAACCACTACCTATTAACCATTAAGTGAAGGTGCTATACAAAATGATTAAGATGACCCATTTGGAGTCAATCCCAGATTATTTTTGCTCTCATTTGCTTTGGTTAAGATCTGTGTGTGAACATTATCCCAGAATTAAGTTCATTCTTTCCCAACAGATAGCCACATTACTATTTATCTAATTTCTCACAAATGTTTTGAGGGGGGATTTGACTATATGGCTAATTTACAGGGTAACCACTTTGTTCTTTATTTAGGCCACATTGAATGCTTCATTTTCTTGTATTAAAGTATCTACTGAATTTATTCCATCTATATCTGAGTAAATACAATAATATATTTTATTCTCATAGCTTCTTTACTGTTTTGATATCAAAATACAATAGACTAACATTTACATATCAAATACATCTAGACAGACAAATTGTTCCCACAGTTTAATTTGAAATGAACTGCATGTACTTCTTTCAGAAAAACATCCACATGGCAAGCATTAAGATAAATTTGACATCTTAAAAAATATATTTATGGCTACGACATTATATTTACTTTACAAAATTCATACTGAATACAATATCTGTAAAAATATGCAATAAATAAATACATGTATAAGATCCATTTTACAACATCTGACAGTAGATTTTGATACCCATTATAAAATGGCATGTAATTCATTTTGCATTGTTCTCGTATTTTGAAAACTTTCACTATCCCAATATCATCATTCATCAATTTAAATTCCATTTCTGTTCAAATCCTAAACATGGATTTTAAGAAATATTTAATGTATAGAAATCTTGAATGTATTAACATTTTAGTAAATACAGACACGAGATAATGAAGACTGTCACCTAAATCAAGAGTTATTTCCCTTTTCACAGAAATTCTTTTCAATAACAAATTATACAAAAAGATTTCAAAACATATATGGAATTAAAAGTTTAAACTGAAGATTTATACTGGTAATAAATGAGTGCAATGTACCATATTTTAGTACTTATCAAAACAAAACAATAATAACAAAGCTTGTAACAAAAACTTAACTTAATGATAAGCAAACACGTTCTTCAAGCACTAATAACAACAAACTATTATATGCCATTTGAAATCTCACGAACATCTTTCATAAAAAAAAAAACTCTCTTCTTATTATTACACTTAAATGTCTGATGGCTAGTGTTTGTACTTTTCCGTAATCCCCAAAAATAATTCAACTTTTATCTCAATAAAAAAAGAAATTTACTGTCAACATTCCCAGCAACTGATTTATAATAAATTTCCATCAATTCCCAACACTTCATATGGCATCACAAAATTAGAAAAATGAAATTGTTGTATGGATTCAAAAACCAGTTATTAAAATGTAGTCCTGATTCTAACAGGAACATAGAAGATTTCAAAAATAATATTTCCTCAAGATGTATATTGATATTCAACAGTATAAGAAAAAGTCACCGATAAACATTTTGATTATAATAATTTAGATGTTAATTACTGATGTATGGTGGCCCCATGAAGACTATACAACAGGATCTTGTGTGTGTGTGTCAAAACAACTAGCATTATATCGACTTAAATGAATTGTTCTCATTTTAGGATAGTAATTTTGTCCCACAAAGAAATCTGTCTATATTTCAGATTAAAAAACTGTGGAATGTGAAGAATGTTATAATTAATGTACATGTAGAACCTGTTAAACTGAAATGAGGTTCACTGTATGAAAATATTTGGGTTTAGTTGAGTTCTAAATGCGCATATATGTCAACAGTTGACTTCTGTAGTCGACATGAGGTCACCTGTAGGATCAATTGTATTAACATTAGAAATAAATTTTAAAAAATATATGTTTATTCCACTTCATATTTAGCATCAGGTCTGGTTGCTTCTGGTTCTCTGTACGGCATATAACTACTATCACCGGGGATTGATGCCATTGAATAAGCAACTGGCTGATTTAACACGCCCATATTTGTCCTGTCAAGGTCATCAAAGTGTTCTAAACCCCCTTCTGTTCGTAATAATTGTTCCTTCATATTTCTAGATTTATAACCATTTTTATGTTTCGCTGCATTCAATGATATTGTTTCTGGGCTGAATGATGTACCATAAAGTCGTACCCTGAAAAAAACAAATTTAAAAAGATCAGTATTGACTGGTTGGTATAACTATCTGAGCACTGATAAAAGAAACAAGCGGTTGTCATGCAAGATACAACAACATTTTGCATTAGATGGATGGAGAACAGGGACAGGAAATTCCAACAATTGTCAACTGAATAAGTTTGGAAGCTGTTGTTCTTTTCTACTATAGTAGTTAACAACTGCACCTAATAAAAGAACAGTTTTGTACAAAAAAGTGAATTCACAAGCTGAACAATTATCCATTTAACTATTCCCTAAATTAATGTGGTATATTTTATTTTGGTTGTTAAATTATCTCTCTTACCACTGAAAGAACGTTTGAACGCAGTGTGCAGTGGAATGTATCATGGTGAATTTTGATATACAGACTGTAATTATCCATGAACTCGACAATGCAAAGAAGTGTGTCTTTTATAAAGAAACAAATAACTTACCTCTGAATGATAAATATAACTGTGATAATAACAGCAGACAATACATCCACTGTTACCCATAATATCAAATAATTTTGTGGCGACTAAAAATTAAGAAGAAAAAAAGATTCGACTTTATAAATTTGTTACCAATACAAGAAGGAACGTAAAAATATTGAATGGTTCTTGTTATCCACAACATATTTCTAGTTATTCTTTGATGTCTTTAGCTGGAAATTGTATTACAAATTACAATGTGCCTCTACATTAATCTATTTTAATTAACCCTTTTAGCGTATGTATTAAGACTAAGTGTCTATATGTATCTCTAAATTGAAGATTTATGCATATTTCTAGCCCCGATTTGCATAATTGATGATATCATAAAACCTAAAACATATTTATATTAGCCTTTTTCAAAATTGACAGACAAGCTTAGCAGATTAATAATACATTTTTGAAATTTAAATTTCAACTTAAACTATTTGAACTTACCAGATGCCAGACTGGAGTTTCCATATTTTGAAACATTTCACAATGATTGGATGTAATGGAATGAGTGCCAATACACCAATAAAAGGAGAAAAACCATTTGGTGTTAACTATCCATATGTTAGTTGATATATTCACTTTTTTATAATTTCTGAAAAAAGGTGAAAATTCATGAACAAAGGGAAATTTCATCATGTACATAGCTTACAATATTCAAGCTATGAAATTGCCATTTATTTATTTTTAAATCCACTATGTCTTTCCTTCAAGGAACAGATTAAGGAACTGGAAGTATGCTCAAAATTGAAGCAATCATTTAAAATAACTTTTTGTCTTGGGTAGTTATTGCTTAAATAGATTCATGTACAAGAAAGGAATATTTTATTTTACAACTTTACCTTATTTGATCTGCTGTTATTTCTGTATACCGTACATTTAAATTAGTAATATTATTTTTCTCTAATTCATCTACCGGTTGTGCCCATTCAGCAGTCATAAAGACACCTCTAGGCTTGTCTAACTCGGTTTCCTGTAACCACCATAACTACAAACAAAACCCCAAATACATATATTGTACCCGGTAATCATACATTCAACCTCCATAAGGTCAAACTTAATTGTAACATGAGCGGGGAATCTCCATTTGTTCTTTTTGCTGAATGAGCAGACTGTTTTCACTCTAGTAAAAGGGGTGGTGCTTAACCAGGCAGTAATATTTTCAATGTTATTGCATAATTCTGCTAGCTTACGCCAGTTTTAGAACAAATCATAATACAGAAGTGGGTAGGATTTTCTGTGCAATAACAACAAACATGGACAGTATTGATGACATGGATAACCCTGTCCCCATTTCCCTACATGTCCTACAAATACATGGGATTGAACTTTTAATAATACAACAGATTGTGCATGCATGCATGTGCATTGACCCGATTGGTTTACAAGTCATATAGAGCAGTTTTCATGAAAGCCGTGCTGTAACATCCAATCATGAAGCATCTGCACATTTCATAGACATCAATCATATTCACTATAAGATTATAATAGTAACCTGCTACAAATTACTTGCAAACAAATTGCTAAAATTTAAAAAGAATATAAAAAACAATGGATAACTTACTCTATCTAAATCTAAACCACCTTCTATGACTGCTTCTATTGTTCTTTGTACTGATGTATTATAATATGGATGTCCTTTAGGTGGTAAGCGTAAATCAAACATTACTATTTTCCCTGTTTTATTAGCTAATCGCACCATTTCTGTTAGTGTTGGAATTTTTTGTTTACTGTAGATTTCTTTATCGGCTTCCGTCAGATCACCAACATTCCACATTGGATCCGTCTATTAAAAAAAGTTGAAAAAAGAGGTTTTGAGACAAAAAAGATAACTTTTTTACCGAAAAGACAAAGAACAGACATTTTTCTCTGAAAATACCAAAGACAAATTGATTAAAATACATATCAATTATTGTAAAACAATATTTCATTTTCACTTTTACAAATAAATACTATCTAACTAATGTATATGGTAGATTTAAGGAATATAAAAATGGTTTTGTAAAAGGAGGTTCCCGATTCTGTATATACAATATGTAATAAAGTTTAGTTTAGTGAGTTGTATTTATAAATACTTACGTTTAAAAACCATTGACCAGCATTTAATTTTTCAACATCCGAAAAATTAAACCAAGATACATGTTGATCAGCTAATTCAGGAAATATTTCTTTTACATTAGTTGTTCTTCTTAAGGTACTATCATGCATTAAATATGGGACTCCATCTTTACTATTATAAAAAACATAAAAATAATAAATCAACTGTTGTAAAGTTGTTATGAGGAAAGTAAATTCAGTCTCCTTCCTTAATATCAAAATTAAACACTGTGACAGTAAATTCTTCACAAGATTTTTAATAAATGACACATGTTGGTAAAAGAATAATTTTCAGTTGACAAACTAGTAACTATCGACTTGTGTTGATATTTTTTTATATCAAAAAGGACTCATAGGAGATGCTCTATTTAGGACACAGTTATAATTTAGAATACTGCCTTAAACTTAGTGATGAAAATAGTTGTCTGAAGTTACAATATCTTTTACCTGACTTGTATACAATATTAACTAATAATAGCACCAAATCAACTTCTTTTAATACATAAAATATTGTAACATTCATTTAATAAAATATTATGAAAACCTTTCTTCCTTGTAATATCACATATTCTATATTTCTTTCCCTGTTTTATTTCTTTACATTTCTGGTGTTTTTTGCATAACGATACATTTATTTAAAAGGACATTATTGCTTATTTTAATTAGATCTTGTTTTATTTTTTCATTAGTTCTGTACAATTAATATTTGATGTCATATTCTGTGCAGTATTAGATTCACTAAGAAAATACCCAATAAGTACGATCATACTATGGACAAGGAACTGATCCCATGTTGTTGGATGAAATTCAAAAATCTAATTCCCCAAATTGATGCAGAATTGTTTAAAGAACAAGCATGCCAATTTTCATGTCGATTGGACTTGAATGACAGAGTTTTAGGCTTTTTCGAAGAACGTCACCCCAAGAAGAAGAAAAAGAAGAAGAACAAGATGAGTAGCGATTAGCGACCAGTTCCTGGTCGTAAAATATTATAATGTAACTTACCTTATCACAACATCAGATTCAAAGCCATATGCACCATGTTCGTGAGCTTTTTGGAATGATATCATTGTATTTTCTGGGGCCAGCTAAAAAATAAAATCCAACTAATAATTATAATATGTAAAGACAAATTTGATTCTGTTGCAAACAATAATGCCATCTAAACTAAGAGAAAATTAAGGAAGCAATGACATATCCTAGAAATAGGGGCATTTATCTTTGTATCTTAAAAGTAATTTACTTGTAATATTGGGTTATTTAAATTTTCAATGAAATTGATTGACAGGAAAAGAAGAACTGTACAAGACACAACTTTATAGTCAACCAGGGCCTTTAATTGTTAGATTATTTTCTTCCTTTAAAATTCAACAACTTATATCATTCTGTAACTGTTCTAGTTTCTGTAATTTAATTTTGATATCATTATCCCAGATTCACTATCACAATTAGGGTTATTTGGATATCTACAGCTGTAATGTCAATAAATGAAAATAAACATTATCTGACTTACTAAGTCCTATAATGATGAAAGCTTTTTATCATTATCTGAGCATTATATTCTCGTTAAACACTTGTGTACACAACTTAATTTTCAATTAAAGGGACAATAAGTCGAAAAGTTAAATTTGTATGTATTTCAACATACACAAGCAACAGTACGTACACTTACTAACAAAAGCATATTAATAGTCAAAGAATTATTCAAATCAATCAATTGTAAAGGAAGTTATGGCTATTTGAAGTTTACATCAGTTTCTAATGATTTTATGCCATCTTTATAACATCTTTCGAATTACATTAAAAACGATTATGCTACCTTCTCTATGAGACTATTAGTTATTGGATATGCTTAATTAGATTATAAAAGCAATTTTCCTAATAAAACAGTAAATATCTATTTTACATTTACATTTTACATTTGTTAACCATGACTTCATTCCCCTTTAACATTTTCAATTAATAACATTTTCTAGACTGCGTATTCATTTTTTTCAAGAAATAGGTCAAGCAAAGGGTAGGAGTAACAAGATCTATGTAATCACGTTCCATCAGAAATAACCTTTTGAAATTAGAGCAGGACAATACCTGTTAATAAATTAGATTAGACCAGGTAAATGTAACAGGTGTACATCAATAGAACTTAAATCAACAAGAGGATAGATATCTTCAAGAAAACGCCCACTTCATCTTTCTTAATTTACTTTTAATGGAATTTTATAGTCTTGTGGTGAGAAAAGTTTCTTTTTCTACAGTTGAAGTAAATACTGTACAAATAATTTGTTAAAACTCTACATACACATGGATAGGATCAACCCAAAGCTCTATTAGCCGACATATAATATTAAATATAGTTTTACTTTATGTATGTAAATCAAATGCCAAAATATGAAAACAACAAGTTTATATTCTTTGAAGGTTTTAAATCGAAATACATGTATTGAGACATTCGAAAGTTATCATCAGATTTGCTTTTAAACTGATTTACGGAATTTCATACTTCAACCGTGTGAGACATTATAATTGTGGCAACACTTATAGGTATGGTTATCATGGCACCTATACTGTGTAAGAGTTGGGGACTTTTGCCAACATCACATTAGAACTAAAAGTTTGTATTTCTTCAAAACAGGACTGAGGATAAAGGTTTCCAGGAGCCTTTCACTGAAAATTAACCCCTTTCAAGTCTTAGTCTCTTATTGACAATTAATTATATTTAGGATTGCTCCTTCAATAACATATGTCCTATCAAGTTTATTCCAATGGCGGCAATGGATACATTTAGCATCAGAAGTTATCTAATCAGTGTACCTTTTGGCAACTTTTGCCACCTTGAACTTTTCCATCATCAAAATCAGGATTGTGTGGCATATACTTTTTGCCAGTCAATTAAAAGATAGGTTGCCAAGCAACGAAACATACGCCCACAGCAACTAAATCATCCAGGCAGTCAACAAGAGTTGTTGCATATTTCTATTTTTGTCGGTAATGAAACATTTATAATACACTAAAATCTGATTAAGAATAACAACTCATTAAGTAATTATCAGAAAATCATTAGAATTTGTTTGGTCCATGCCAATGTTTAGTACACAAAACATTTAATACCATGGATTTAGCTGTTCAAGTTTTCAAAAATCATTGAAAATCAACCTACTTGTTCGTCTCAGGACTTTAGTGTCCTTACGCTCTGTGTATCAATCTCAAGTCAATCGAAATGATTATATATACTATAGGCGTAAACACAGTGTATAAATATAAAATCAATCAGATGATAACTACGGTCTCTAAAGCATCCACAAGATTTTTCAAAGTGATCAAGGGCCATAACTTTGGCAGTAATTATCGCAAATCATTGAAAATCAATAGGCTTCTTTGCCTGATGACCTTAAACACTGTGTACTAATTTAAAGTCAATCAAATATGAACTTTAGCCTCTAGACCATCCACAAGATTTTTCAAAGTGATCAAGGGCCATAATTCTGGCAGTAATTATCGAAAATCGTTGAAAATCAATAGGATTCTTCGTCTGATGACCTTAAACCCTGTGCATAAAGTCAATCAGATATTAACTTTAGCCTCTAGAGCATCCACAGACCGATGGATGGACGGGCGGGGCGACGACAATATATGACCACATTTTAATGTGGGCGTATAAAAAAACGAAGACTAATGTATCACCTATAGCAATTTAACAAATAAACAAATCCCAACATCCTTTTATCAAAAAATGTTTAAACCAAACCATAATTTCCTAATGAATTGAATTATGAAACAAGATAAGAAAATCAATAGTTCAAGCCTCAATGTGCTAGATGGCCAATAATACATTGTTTTTCTTAATTAAAACAAAATAGGACTTCAAAGTGTTCCTGATATCGCTTTGAAATAGAAATAGAAATGAATTCTCATTCAGGCTTAGAGAAGATAAGATAGAATCATGAAATCAATCAAAAGGAACTTCCATTAGGCTAAGTTCATTTTAATCATTTTTGGACCAATTTCTTTTTTGTTGAATCTACTTTCTATTGCACTCAGTCTGAAAGTCTTACCTTTTAGTTTGGAATATTGTTTCTTAATTTGAATTACATTTAAATATTGCAAAAATTTAAATTGACAAAGTTGAAAAGTATTCTTCAATTACCAAATTTCTACATATAGGGGAATATCTGGGTTTTGTGGTCTTCCATAATTCCAGTTAATTATTTTGTGTATGCAGAGATAATTATTGTGTATATTGAGTGAGGGTGTGTCAGTTAAAACTAATGGTTTTATATTATGAGTAATGTAATGTTATAGAAGAAGGACTTGCCAAAGCAACTATTGACCACATGAACAGGGCAGTTTGCCAAAATAGATCACTGCGTTTTGGTTTAGTCATAGATGTATAAATAACACGTTCTACTGTCATTATTACCTACATCTATTAGATTGATTATGATGATTATTGTCATATTACTTACCCCAGAATCACCTCTATGTGCTATTATCTTAGGTTTAACAGGTAGTTGATTGATCTCAATAACACACGGAGAGTTAATATAGAGAGGTGAGATGTATAAACCAATCATTACAGCTATATAAAACAACAAACTACTCCATCTTACAGCTGTAAATATACAAAAATAATACACATTTATTATACAAATTATCAATATTACTGGCAAACATTTTAATAGAACTGACTATGAGTTTTATAGAACTCACATTGAGTTTTATAGAACTCACAATGAGTTTCACAGAATTTAACAAAGAAATGTTAATTGCAGTCTATTAGCTTGGCCAAGACAGTAAATTTAACTTTGTTTCTAATAAAGAAGTTAAGAAATTAAGTGGGATTTAATGTCCAATCTTGTAAGAATTGGTTATAAAGTTTGAAATTTCATACATCAACCCCTCCATCCCTATCAAGCGAATAAAATAGAAATAATTTAATGTCTAAACACAGCAATAAGTCTATAGTAACAGAAAACTGGTCATGTAACTGTATAAGGTACTATAATAATCATATCCACTTAGTCATAGTATAGAAAATACATCATAATATTAACAAAGTTATGTGAGTGGTACTGTATTTTGTAGATTATTGTTATATTTTATTTCCATTTTGCCTAGATACTTCTGACATTCTTTGTTGATACATGTACATATGTACATTGGATATCTTTTTCAGGTTAATGTGCTCCATTATTTATAGTATCTAACCAAATATAAATTATGGAGCACATTAACCTGAAAAAGATATCCAATGTACATATGTACATGTATCAACAAAGAATGTCAGAAGCAAAATTTTTGCAACATAAATATCTATAATTATGTGTTTTTGCAGTTGTTGCTATTTGCATGGAAAAATAGTTGTAATTTTGGTACACAACTGATTAGTTCTACATTTTATTTTACATATATTTGTTTCTGTGCAAGAACATTATCAAGATATCATATCTAACAATCAGGTGAAGTCCAATTACAAATCTAGGGAAGATATATATAAGGAAATACAAACCTATTTTAGCAATTTTGAACCATTGTCCTGATATTAACCATGTCAAAGCTGTTAATATAGTTACAGCACCTATTTGTAAAAATGGTCCTGTAATCTACAAAATAAAACAAATTAACCAATTTAATCAATTGAACTATCTGTCTAATAACATATATACACCAACATTTTTATGGTCTACTGTGTCTGTAAACAACCATTTTCTGATGATATGCTGATGATCAAGAGAAAAATCCATGACCATGCACTGTCATACCAACAGCATTGCACTTTAAATATATATCTTTGATTAAATATGTATCTAGGACTTTAATAAAAATATATGGATATGGGACTTAGATGTATCTGGAACTCTAATTTTTATCTGGGACATAAATATATGTATCTGGAACTCTATTACTTATCTGGTACATAAATCCATGGGACTTAGATATATGTATCTGGAACTTTAATTAGTTTAATACCGGTATGTACATATCTTGGACTTAAAGATCTGATATTAAAACAGAATATCTATATTATCAAACAGAATTACAGACAGGTATTTAATTATAATTATAAAATAGCATGTTTACATATAGTTACCTGTAATGATAAGTAAATTACAGTCCATTCTGATGACCACTGGTTATCCAAGGCTATGCACATAGCTATACAGCACAGGAAGGTCAATGAAATTAATATTATATGAACTGGATGTATATAAAGTTGATGACCATGAATAGCATGACACAAATATAGAAACTGAAACAGAAAATTGTAAATTTTTGAGAAATGTGCACACTAAGATTGACTAGTTAGCCGTTTACATGTAAGAAACAGCAAGTTCCACAGTTTGCTTCAATTTTAATTGACAGAAACTCTTTGGAATGTTATTTATTATCATACATGTAGTCTAGTTCACATATTTCAGAAATATTTGTATATAAGATTTACACCCAAAAGTTGGACTTAATGCACTTTATGAATGAATGCATAGAAATATAATAAAATTGCACAGCTATTCTTCACAAAAAAAAAAAAAAAAAAAATAATGACAAAGAAAATAGGTTTGTTGTCAAATAACTTTAATTTTTGATTCATTAATTTTGCATTCTACTTTAAACTGTCAATAGTCCTTGGTTTAAAATGCTTGAAAATGTCATTATAAAACACACTTACATGTACTTAACCGTAAATACTTGAAATTAATTAAATAATACTTAGTAAAAATAGAAGGAAATATGTACGCATGTATTATGAATTATGATGGGTGGGGGTGGTTTATATTTATACGTAAACTAATCAACATACAGGATGTTTATATTTGTTTTCTCAATTAGATTTCCACAGCATTAAATTAAAGATGCATTCCAACACAAAAACAGTTATCTTCATTTTAAGCATATACATTTTTAATAAACTAATGAAGGTGAAATTTAAACTACAGTTCAAGTTTAATGAAATTGTTGTCAGTAAATATAGAGCTACATGTAGCAACAGCAACCAAGAAGTTAAACCATTTAGCACTTAGACCACCCAAAACCACCCAAACTAGGGCTCCGTAGACCGCCCTGTCACGTGCACGACACACAAATTATTCCTATAATACCGAACGCTTTTAAAAAAAGAAAAGATTTGGCCGATGTTGGAAAATTAACCTGTATTGTGTCTTTTGTTCACATTTCATCAGATTTTACGTCAATGCTTCAACAAAATTATTATGAAGAACTGTAGCTCTTTAATAATAATGCAAGAAAAACAGACAGCTGTCATAAAATTTTGATGAATATATAGTGTAAAATGGCTGTTGAAAAGGTACATATGAAAATTGAAATAAAATTGACGTCATGCATCAATCAGAAAGATGCACAACCATGGTAATATTTTTCTAACATCTTATCAGAGAAGACTTGGGAACCCTGAGGCTGAACCGGTCTTTTGGTTTTTGGCACTTTAAAATGCATCAATAAGTCTATCTATTATTTCATAATTCTACATTGGCATTATGTTCGTGATTAATTTAATATTTTATTATGCATAAACCAGAGATTAAAGACTATTTTATTGGGTATCATGAACCAAAATTTAAAGAATACTTTATTAGGTATCATAAACCAGAGTTTACAGAATATTTTTTTATGTATCATAAACCAGAGTTTAAAGAATATTTTATTAGGTATCATAAACCAGAGTTTAAATAATATCTTATTAAACTGTTTCTTCACTCATATTACATATCTTATTTCCTAATCACATCCATCGTTATTTATCATGTCTTCATTCCTGTACTTACATTAATTATTACAATTTAAATAGATGTAAATTAAATGTTTCCTCACCATAACTATAAAGAGATACCCAAATGAAACACAGGTTAAACCCAACATTATTCTATACCATGGCAACCAAGTCTTGACATATTTTAACATTTGCCTGAAAATAAAAACAAAGCTTATAATAATACTATACATACAAAATAACATATGCTAATAATTCTTCAGGTTGCCAACATTGGGAGAAAAAATGTCATAATGACACATTTTATCAATGAGACTTTTTGGGTCTTTTGGGTGCTCATGTGTTTTCAAAGTCAGTAATATTAATGGTCATGGTGCATTTCTAAGTATGCAATTATCTATACGTCAATCTTTCTTCATAATTATCATTTCATGAGAGAAAACATGTGCTTGTACGTAATGAATAAAAATTATGACCACATCATTCTTGTGTAAGCTAATTCAAAATTTTGTGGATTTTTTTTTTGTTATCGGTTACCGACATTCAATTATAGAACATGTGCAGAAAAGCAAATGATTTATAAAATCCATTTAAGAGAAAGCAAATTAACTATTACATTGCATCATGAAGCCATGTTACCTATACTACCTAACTAAACTAATTATAAAATTCTAATTTACTGAATGTTTTTTCCTTTAAGACTAAAGAGTCTATTTTTCCCGTATACATCGATTTTATGTACCAGCAATGCATATGATGTAACCTAATTCTTTCGATTTTGATTTATCTGTGCAACCAAACAAATTTACTTCCTTATCTAAAATAGTATTATTATGATTTCCATTTCATAAATACTTCTGATCTGAGATCTCGGGCAAAGTTTGAAAAAAGAGAGAAAAATGGAGTTAGCTCTATTTGATAAGGCCATCTTCAAGATTGGTCAAAGATCATGAGATGTAAACAGGGCAAGTGCTAATCCCAACCCTAACCTTGGACCTAGCCATAACGCTTACCCTTACCTACAATCTCGCCAACAAGCAAATGCCCTAACCTTATTTGAAACTCAGTGACCTTGACAAAAAGGTATGCACCTCTTAGAACCAGTGATAATTTTTAGTCAATGGTGTCTTTGTTTGACTACCCACACCATACTGATGTTTGAAATACATGATTAAATTAAGTCTTTAAATGTATGTAGCTTTACTTACCAATTTAAATCATCATAATCATTTTTTGCTACCAACCAGAAGTAGAATAGGAAGGTTATAAAGAGGAATGTTAGCACAAATAACACAAACCATAATAGATCTCTCTGAAAAAAAAAAAAAATATCGACAATTAATTCAACAGTTTAAAAATCCCAAGAAGGTAACGAAAAAAACTAACACCCGAATGAAAGGAAGGGCGGAAGGCAAGTTTGGATCTCAGAGATGCATCTGAGGAAGAACAGGAACCATTCCTTGTACAAGTTGTAGTAAATCATAAAAATTCCCCGGCAACACACTTGACAAGACTGTGTGAAGATTATCGAGGACACGTTTCAGGCATTTGCCCCTTTATCAACTGGTTACAAAAATGATCCCATTAGCGGGTATACATAGACAATAGATTATTGTGCATGCGCATAATGTTCACTATACATTAATCAACTAGCTGAAAATTCGGATCGCGTCACTGAGTAATAATAGTCATGGATTAATGATTAGTTGATTGATAATTGCCAATGATATATATAAAGCCTTCCCCAAGTCAAATATTTGCTCTGAATAATTAATCCACACGGTGACTATTTGATATTTCGCTTCGTCTTAAACCAGCGGTTGCCAGGCAATATACGCCCATATTTTGCAAGAGATGGATAGAGAACAAGCTAAAAACAAAAGCGATTTTTCGTACAATCAGGGGCCATAATCCAGAAAGTTATGGTCTGAAATGTGCAAATACCGAAAGGGACTGATATCTTTGGGATATAGAGATATATTTTAAGTTTCATCAAAATTGCGTACAAAGAGCGGGCATTTTGTTTCAATTTCCCCGAAATTCGAATTCAACCTTCATTATGGAAGAATGGTGAAATATTTAAATGTTTTTTAAAATCGGATAAAAATTGTGACCTCTAGAGAATCCACAAGCTAAAAAACATGATATTTCGTACAATCAGGGGCCATAATCCAATAAGTTACCTTCCGATATCTGTGATTATTGAGAGGAACCAAGATCTTTTGTGATATCAACATACATTTCAAATTTTATCAAAATCAAATAAAAATTGTGATTTCTAGAGGGCCAACAACCTTGGTATTACATACTTCTAGACTATTTGCGTACATTTTGTCTGGCAGTTTCGATTGGATTTTTATGAAATTCAAACTCAACCTTCATTGAAGTGTCATGGTGATATATATTTAAACGGTTTTAAAAATTGAATTCAAAATTTGACTTCTAGAGAGTCCACAAGCTAAAAACGTGATTTTTCAATTAATCGGGGCCATAATCCTGGATTACGTTCCAATATGCGTGATTATCGACAAAAACCGAGATCTTTGTGATCTAAACATAAATTTAAAATTTCATCAAAATCAGATCAAAATTATGACCTCATTGAGGGTCCACAACCTTGATATGACATACTTTTACACTATTTGCGTTCGAAGAGCGGCCATTTTGTCTGGCACTTTCAACCCTTATTATGGTCACAAATTTTATTTTTACATTTTCTTTAAATTTCCTTGTAACTTTGCTATGGTGGCTACATTATGCCATTTATTTTGGCTATGTTTTGTTAAACAGTTCTCCTGCATACTAATGTCAAATAGCTGGTTGGACGGGAGATGAAGCACATATACCAGGCCTACGGCAACACTGATGCATGACAGTATAATCATGGGAACTCACAGCTTGTATACATTGGCAGCACAAGGTCGTATTTAGACCAATCCAGAACCATGTAGCTAATTAAAACAATTAAAGTATTCTTCACATTATCAACATTATTAAAGTTTGTTGAATTTAATCTATCATCAAGCATAAACAGATAAATTCTTTAAGTTGTAAATATCCATATGTTCACCAAACTGTTGCCAAGATAATCTATGTAGTAACAATATGTTCTCTATCATATAACCATATTATTGTTGGAAAAAAATGCTGGTGGCATGCTACCTGCATTAAATAACCCAAATTATAAAGATCCTTGGGCTAACCAAAATAAATAAAACTCTGTTGATTCTGAGATCAGACAATGAACAGACATACATGTACCAGTATTTGTTACGTCACCTCAAACAGTGCTGCTTTATGCAAAGTTTTATTAACAGATAACCCGAATTTAATAAATTTAAAGATAATAAATATTTCTTTATTAAACTTAATTAGCATTTCATTTAGCATATTGAATGTGGAATGAATGGAGATGGTTCAACTCTTTCTTTTAAAAAAATTCATATTGATGACAGCAGGCTATATTACCAGATCTTTCAACTTCAATATGGCATTTCGATCTTACAAAGGGAGAAGTTAGAGCATCTGTAGTTTTGATTCAGTTCCTGAGATCCCAGTGCGTCTGATTAAAATGCGATCTGACAAAGTGATAAATAACTCTACAGCAATAGTTAATCTTTCAAACATTCTCTATCAATAACATTTCCTTTCCACTCTACATGTCCCGAAGGGGAAAAGCTTAACTGATTAAAATATCAGTGTTAAATTATTATACCAAAGTTATTATTATACCAAATCAGTAGCTTCTAAGTTCTATCCACAAAGCACCATATCTATATTTTACTTCTTCTTATATTACTAACTACATCTACTTTTTTTTTTCAATATTCATTTTTACTAAATAAAATAATAGATTTAATGCAACCTGTGTTTTGTGTTATTATTTCATTATGTCTTACTTCTAATTATGTCTTACAAAATTTCATGAAGTTGATACAACCGTAGGTCCAATTTTATATTTTACAATATTTGAATAATCAGTACAGAATTTACAATAATTAACAAATAATATCATTTACCTTAGAGATCCATGATTTTTCCATCTTACCAAAAAAACACAACTTCAACATTTCGCTTAGAAAAAATCTGTCACTACCTTTCTTATACCAAAAAAAATCTTTTAACAAATCTCTTAGAAGATGATTCTACCAACTGTTAGTGCCTCCTTGCTACAGTATAAAGTTTAGCAAGTTACAATAGTCTAGTACTGTGGTATGAATAAGACATGTGTTCATTCAAAGTAGATGCCAAAAGTCTGGTAACATATATACGCCTCTTCATGAATGAATAAAATGTTACAAGAATAGGCTACAAGTAGACAGATTTCATGTGATCACTCCCATCAGTCCAATCAAACGGTTTCATTTAATTACATCTTGAGTATGCTTAAGACATGTTTATTGGTAAGATAATAGATATATTTGGTGATGTGATTACACTAATAGCTACTGAAAGTCAAATTAACTCATCATGTTTGTTGTTTTAAGCACTAAGTTGTTCATTTGTTCCTTTAATCGGTGTCTGTATGCCTATTGTTATGGATAAATGGGGAGATTATAGTAATGGATTAAGTTAATGGATTAATTGGAGAGTGAAAGCCAGAAAGGGTTAGGAATATCAACTTCATGACTTTGAGAGAACACCATCATTCAATTGGTTAACACTTCGACACCCCTTTTGACATATTTAATTGTTTCATGCTTTTGTTAATGGAACAAATTGCCCCAAGGTGCAATATTCACGTACATAAACAGTTATGTCAATATCAAACTTGATAGAGAACTATTTCTAATACTAAAGTTATAAATTCACCTTAAAAGTAAAAATAAAGTACTAGGTTGAACTAATGTATTATTTTAATTAGTAATGAGGGGGAGGGGGAAGGGGGGGGGGGCTCTTTTCTAATAAATGTTTGCCTTGAAAGATTAGAAAGATGATAGTTGGTTGAATTTTATTTCATTTCTGACATTCCATTACCACAATGGAACATAAAATTGGTAATTTTTCAACAGTGGTTTATTTAGAGACATAAAATATTAAATAAAGATTGATATAACACTAAACACATAAAATCCAATGAAATAGATAATATTATTTCAGACCCAAATCAAAGTAATCTAGTCATCTTTAATTTGAAACAAAAAATGTGTTTACCACTAATATTTTCCTTAAATATACTATGAAAAATACTTTTATATATTTTGAATTTGAATTCGCACTATAATGCTATAATCTTCTTTAATTAACATATATGAATAATACTTTAGCTTTAATTTTTAAGTACTTTAACGAAATTTGTCATGTTGTCCCTTAAAACTACAGGTGTATTATCAGATTAAAAATAGAAAAGCTTCTTGTTTTCAACACCTTTATTTCAATCTTGATTTTTTTATAACAATTTCTTTGAAACTGGCAATAAATAAAAGGTCATGTTCAGAAAGTGATGACACCTTTTCACAATTTTATAGTTTATTACAAGTGTAAAATAACAGAGAAACTCAAACAAAACTAGTACTGACACAGTGACAGTATGATACACTCGATAACTTTTAATTTATTTTAATATTTCTGGGTTAAACTCAAAACATTGATTCTTGTGCTTATGTATAGGATATTTATCTATTATTATGAAAATAATAAATGCCTAAATAATAATTTATATAACATTTAAGGCCTAAAGAAAGACCTGCAATAGACAGATTTAGCTCTTGCATAATGCATGTTTAATTTGAGCCACTTTTCATCTGTTTTAAATTGTACATTGCCAGACTTCTTGTCTATTTATTGTAGATAAATGCAGATTATCTTTAAAATATATGCATTGAAGATCAAACATTGAAAACTGTGAGTTAGAATGAAAAAACTAAATGCTTTAATATACATGTACCTCTTTTTCTGCAAATATATAACTACTGGTTGGTATGTAAAGTTAAGGATTTGTTTCAAACTTAGTAATCTATTTGATTTTAGGGAGAAGAATATTGCTTGTCTGCAATACAAAGCAAGGTTGTTACTTATATCACAGAAATTCTAAAATTACTTCTAATTATAGTATAGGAGAGAGAGATAAATAGTCAACTGACTACCGGTAAATGACTGAACCTATGATTTAAAGTCCATGTGTTTGACCATCCAGCCACCCATTATCCCAATCCTCTATCCATATTGTTGAAGAATTGATTGTACATAAGAATATTCCTGGTGTAACTTTTAAGTCTCTGATTGAACTGGGGGCATAATGTGTGCCAGAATTTATTGTGCAACAATCAATTTGTTCCAAAATCATACTGCTCCGTCCAGTCCATAGCCATA